GGGGGGGGGGGGGGTCTTAAAGACCTTTCTGAGAACTTTCCGCCTCCGACAGAATCTCTCGTATATATTTTCTAGTACGAAACGCGGTGGGATTGCGCGAGAGAGATGACTTTCGGTTAAAGGCAAGATGATATATATTGATAGGCTGCCTGTGAGGCAATCGAGAGATATCGAGTAGGAGTTAACTAAGAAAAAAAAAAAGAAAAAAGAGAGAAGGAAAGGATAAAGTAGGAGGAAATTGTGCTATGTATAAGACAGGTTGCGCGGGAGTAAGGGAGATTAAAATGCGACAGCACAATGTTGACAAGCCAAATCGGACATTGTTTTGAGTTAGGAACGCCTGAGATATCTTAGATTAACTTTGATTTCGTTTAATCGTTGCCATATTGTGTTTGTCATTGGCGCAAAATGTCAGACCGGATGAAATCGCGTTATACCACTCGACTGTCACAGAAAAGATCGAATCAGTTTCATCAGGGAATGCATTTGTTTAACCGTCAGAATCGGGCAATTACAAAGTCTCTCTCTCTCAAGTTTAGATTACCGCGATCTTCGCGAATGTCCGGTGAGGCTTTGTGACTTGGCGACGTGGAACTTCTCCATTGATTCGCCACGCATTTTTCTTCTCTCATCGTTGATCCGTGCATTTTGTCCGTTGAATTTTACGCAGGACATTGCAAGCGAAATTGTTTAATAGAGAGATACGGTGGAGGGAAATATATAAAGAGGCTCAGCGCTAATTAGGGGTTTCGACGAAAAATTAAAGTGATATTTGGATATTATGATAAACGCATATTTTTTTAAAGGAACGACATGGATGTACGGGGTGTCTCTCGCGACTCGCAGCGTTGATTTTAACGGCAGACTTCTCGACGAAATGGACTTTTCTCGAACGAAAATGTCGAGGCACCGATGATTCGCGAGTTGCGAACGATTGGAAAGGAGGGGCTTTTTATGAACTGCACTCGAGTTAACAAAATTACGCTTTTCTGATTTAATTTTATAAGCATTACTTCGGTAAAAATATTATTTAAAGAACAATTACAAAAATATAATGTTAGCAATTGGAGATTCGCTTCTTTTGGCATTTTCGTTGAAGGAAAAATCGACTCGGTTGGCGATTTTGTCGTTAAAAGGAAGGCTGCGAGTTATATAAGCGCGTCTTGTATATCTTAGTAATGTTATTATAAACTAGACAATGCTATTTCATACCGCTGTATATCTTCGTTCGATTGTAATTTTGTCTACAATTTGAACAATTCACGTTTTATCGAGAAACTGACCACACTTATGCAAAAATGAATCATTGAACGTTAGCAGGCCCGCGCCTAGTTTGTTTACCGCACTGCCTGCGAAAAAACCCTTCAGTCTTTATTCAGGCGCGTAAAATTTCTCGGGATGCTCTTTAAACCCCAGGTATCAGAAATCATGTTAGGAAAATGCGACGATTGTGTCTTACAAAAGGAGAAAAGGATTAAAGGATGTCGCATTAAAAGTTATTTAAATTTAAAAAATTTCGATGAAATTCAAGGCATGAAAGGTCTAATAAGATATGAACGAAGCCTTTTTTTTCATTTTAAAAGTTAACTGCAGAGATCTCGAATATTGGAAAATGAGAACAAACGATAGTCTCGTCGTGAAAAAATGTTCACCGGGAAAGAATTGATTTATCCTACAACACAGTCTGTGGCTGGAAGGGCATCCGATAATTCTTCGTTATAAGCGTTTCGTATTTATACCGTGCTAATCGTTTCTCCGTAGTTCTTGTACGCAACATTATTTCGCGTTAGGTAGAATTTTCGCGGGAGAAGATCAATGACCGAAATGCTGTTCCTGAGAAAATTGCTGGCTCTTGCTCGCTTGTTATTGTAGAACCGGCCCCGAATGTTAAAAGGGTTAACGATTGGGCATTAGATGTTGCAGTTCCTGTTACTGTTAAACACTATGAGAATGTTAGAAAGAAAAAAAAATCGGCTGTATGTATATACAACTATCTAGGAAGATTGATAGGGAAGGCTTGATCTTCGCGGTTCCTCATTCTTTTCAGAGAGACAATTAGAAAGAAATAAAAGACAAAAGACGGATATATTTCGCCATTGGTTCAGACAGTTTATATTGTTGTGAATGTGTTTTTGATAATATATCGTTTTAAAGATCGTGTATATTGATTAAGTTTCCAGTGTCCAGTGTTAAACCTTTTCCAGAGCTACGAAACGCAAGAGCACAATGGCTGGAAAATAAAAATAAAAAAAAAAGTACAAGACTCTGTCAAGTAATATCAAGGTTACTAGTTGAAAAAGAAAGGGGAGAAAAATTTGATCGAGGTCAAGATGATCGCTTTGACTTCTCGAGTGTTAAAGACAAGTTGATTACGTCCGTTGTTATAAATATGCATCAGCAAAATGTGTCGAACAAAATTTGTATAGTGACTGTGAATAATACATATTACTGTTCATAAGCTGTGAATATCGAGTAAATTAAAAAGAAAAAAAAGAGAAAAAAGATTTATAGGAAAGATCAATCAAAAAAAGAATCCACGAGGTACTCTAGATTAGAAATGCGCATTTGTCACGAGAAAATGTAAAAGGGAGTACAAGATGTGTATAATAAGAGTAATAAAAGAAAAATATAAATAAATGAAAAGAGAAACCTAGAATCTTAAGAGCGTCTACTCATCTAAAGGAATAAGAGAGCCTTAACTCTTAAGTGCGTAGCTTATCGTTAGCGTATATTTAATCTTTCGAATACCTAAATGTAATTATATTCCTGTAAACGTAATTCTATTGTCTAGAATGTCTAAATGTATTTTATATGTCAACCAGTGGAAGATCCTTTTTTTCATCATTTTTTCTCGCACTGTCGGATTTATTTTGAGAGACGTCAAGCACTCAGATTCACACACAGGGAATAGCGAAAGAAACTCTCGCTATCTGAGGATTCGTCGGTATAGGATAGAGAGATCTAAAGACAAAGTCAGCAATCTCCGTATTCTAGGAAAAAAGGAAGGCAGTTAACCACGTTTAACGAATCCGGCAATTTATATCATAGCATCTTATTGATAATGGACACGTCATACAAAGCTCGGTTTCGTTCATCTCCGAACACGATCACGTAGGTCCAAGTGTGATTCTCGGAAACTAAATGTTTATAAAAACTGCGATGCCATATAAACACTACGAGCAAACATTCTAAAAAGAAGTTGTTGATATTCAGTTTCCATGTACAAAACAAATAAATCACCGCAAAAAAAAAAAAGCAGTATTTCGTATTATTTTACCATTTGCCTATGGTCGTACTTTTGTGTCGTACTTTTTGAGTTGTGTATCTTAATTTTTACTCGTTTAGTCGTTAATCGTTTTCCAGATTGCTGTCTTTGCTATCTTGCGCGTGGAAAAATCAGATCCTTCACTGCTAAACAAACGATGAATATTTTGACAATCATATACAGATTCTCTTGTACAGAATTATTCGCATAAATCAGTGAGAGTGAAGTCAGATATTCAGGATATCGATCGCAATTGAATCGACAATAAGTACATTTTAACAATATTAATCGCTCTATAAAATGCAAATTTTCTATATCGACATATTATGAAGTATTTTTTTTTAATTAAAATATGGTTAAAGTCCTTTCTACAGGGATATCAGAAAGATAAAAATCTCAGCTTTCTAACGAGCTCTATCTGAAGTTTCTACGACATCTAGAAGCGAAGATATTGACGATTATATCGACCCGTGCTCTTTAGATCGTTCGTGGTTACTTAGGCGAAGGTCAATGACACCTGCTGGTTTACATTGAGGGCTGCGTTCCAAAACTCTTGACGGATAGAGTAGCATTTAATTGACCAATCAAGACAGAAAGAGCAAAGATTTTTTTATCATGACTGATTAATTAAATGAACTCTACCTGTCGAGTAGGGTTGTAAAACGTGGAGCTAAGGTTTGCTCACTAAGTGCCGTATTTTCAGTGGCATATCGAAGGCGCCTCCTATATATTTATTATTTATTCAGCAAAATTACATTTCCATACATTTATTTCACTATCTAAATAATAAATAAGTTTGGAACGAAGCTGTAGTAAAGAATATACACAAAATGTTACAAATACGAATATATTATTATTTTATATAATTTTTTAATCATATGCTGTATTTATGCATCAATTGATCTAATAGAGATGCACAGATAACGGAAAGAGATATGTAAATGATTAAGGCTTCTGTGTACTCGCCGCAGTTATCTTGTTTTATGACGTCAGAAGCGAGAAAATCCACGTAAAATGCTCCGAACATTTTTCTCTTGCTTGAACAATCAATAAATAAAATAAGATAAAAATGTAAAATGTAAGATGTTTTGAGACATCTTAAGATGTTCTCTGGATAGATTAAAATGTTACATATTACGTTAATTTCACGGTTATTTATTGATTGTTAGAGCAGAAAGAAAATGTTCGAGGTATTTTACAAATGTGCTGAATCGATCGCAAATGTCAATTTGTAGGTATATCTTTTCATCTGAATATGTACGGCAAGAATTTCCTCGGCATGTATTTCCTCGCTTCTGACGTCATCAGACAAGACGACTGCAACGAGAGACTAGTAAACCTATTCTGTAACTTTTAACGACGATATCGTCATGGTTACTTTGTCGTTGGGCAGATATAATGCACGGTGAAAAAGCAGTGTGACGACAACGACACTGTCGTTAAAAGTTACAGAACACAGGCACTATTAATTCAAGACAACGTTTCATGCCTTGAGTCTTGGCCTTAAGTAATGCGCAATAACTGCAAAATATCTTGTGTCTGAAATCTTAAACGAAAATGCCGTGTTGCTTATGATTGATAACAAACTGTGGTGTAATTAAATGAAAGTAAAAGCTGATAATTTTGACAAAGGTTTAAGGCGTAAAACATTGGCTTAAAACTACACAGGTCAGCTAACAACTTTACCAAAGCCCTAAAGCTACGTGCGATGTGGTTTCACGAAAATTGATTATTTTCCCTCTAGATCAGACCCTGTCTGCAGAAGGAATATATCGATCGTGCGGGTGGAGCGTCCTGAGGAGAAAACTATGTGTTCTCCCCAAAGAAGAAGTCGCTCTTCCGTTTGTACGTTTATCGAGACGTCGGTAAGCGCGCGTTTCCAAATTCCGATTTTAAATTCGAAGACATCCTGTATAGTAATGTAATTTATAAGTAACGAGAGTACATTGTATATTATTCTTTTCATTCGATCCACTAGCTTTTAACTCCCACAGCTAGAAACTAAGTCTGATGATTAAATTTCAATTGTATGGACAGTTAATTTCTTTTTTCCACGCGAGATAGGCTGTGAATGCTTTGCTCCATTTTGATCGTTCGCCACGCTCGTTTCTTCCAAATCAGCGGTAGAAGAGCAGCACAGACGCGTGCGGGAAAGCGTGCTAAAGAGATTGTCTTTTGTTTCGTGTCTCTACGTCGACTCGTTAGCGAGTTACGACTGTTCAAAAGTCGCGGCGTCAGATTTCAGCTTTTGGCGCCAGGTGCTCTCGCGCATGCGCACTATGTTCTTCTCACGCTGCATTCAACTGACCGAGGTGAATGACCGGCGACACCGGGGGGACCGCGTGGCCACGCTTGCACGTGGAGTGGGGGCAAGGCCGCCGCGTGACGTCACTTACGGTGCATATACGGCTTACTTCGGTGGACTTCGGCCATTGTTCTGCACTCACGCACCGCACGTGACCTACCCCGAGCGAAGCGACGGCCGATCGAGAGCGCGGATCGATATGCGAATGTCGACATCTCCACTTCTGGACGTCGTAGCGACTTGGGACAAAAACCGTTGCGAAGGGGAAACTACGGTGCTTCTGATGAGCAGGAAATCGTTCCTCTGTGAAGCCGGGATTAATTAGCACGGCTATGTAAATGCGACGTACGTCAATTTCTTTGCTCGCGTTAATTGCGAAAATTGATCTATGCTAGAAATGAATGGGAAAATTTGATTTGGATTTGTGACGCAAGCTGTGCTTTTTTATGTTTTCTACGAATAGGAAGTGCAATTTAACGAACAAAATGACGAGCTCTGATGAAAAAAGAATCCTTCATCCATATGAAACTAAAGATGTAGAAAACGTTATAATTATCGTCGACATATTACTGATTTTATAAATTTAACCACATTTTCATTGATCTATTATAATTTAAATTTTATTTAAATTACTTAAATCTTAACTTAAATCTTAACTTAAATTATTCCATAATTGATATCTTGGGAACACGTGAAGCCACGTCGATGCGCGTTTCTACGAAGAAGATTCTCGCAGATATTTCAATGACATATATTTGATAACACGTCACTTTTGCATCGATCTATTACGATTTTAGTAAATAATATCTGGGCCATGCGTAATGCTATGATATGATGATACGATTTCCACGAATCTTAGTTAGCTCCCCTTTAGATTCGAACTTTATCACAAATATTTTAATTTATTGCGACTTTGCGTAATCAATTTCTCAGTAATGAGGAAAGATACGTTGATGCGTTTTCCGCAAAGTTATGTTGCCTCTAAGTCGGATTCTGCTTACAGATATTTCGATTTCATATACTTGGTGACTCTACATTTTCGCAATAATTCTATTATATAACTTTCGTAATTAATATCTCAAGTTAAGCGTAAATATTCGAAGATGTGGTTTGGACGAAAGTGAGTTATTGTGCCTCAAAGTTCGATGCAATTTGCAGATATTTCGATTCTGATTTCGATTCGTTCGTATGATAAAGCTGTCGATAACTCAGATTAAAAGAACATAACATTTCCTACACCATCTTATATAACTTCTTGTTCGGCGTATATGATGGACCCAGCGAGAAATGTCACATCGAATCGACATCAAATTGACGTCAAATCGACGTTGAAACAATCGAGATTACGTCGAATCGGCGTCGATTCGACGAATCATTTCTCGCTGGGGACGTGCCACGACTACAGGAATTTCTATAGCTGTAATACTGTAACGAATTTCTCTTCAACCATCAATTACCTCTGATTAACGCGCTGAGTGTCGCGCTTGATTTATCGCACAAACATTCAACTGATAATTAAATCACTAAAGCTCCGGTAAATAAATATAATTCGGAATACATATATCTCTTACCTTGTTTCCCTCTTGCCTCTTTATTGGCCGTACATTTTACAGATGCAATTAATTATATTCTGTACACGGGAAAAAAGAATTAGCTGTCCATATGATACAACTGAAATCTAGTTACCAGACTTAACTTTTAGCTATGGGAGTGAACAAAACTACACTGAGAAAAAACGGTTAAAAATTCATTCGTGGAATATATAAAGTTTATTTCACAGAAATATGGGTTTATTTAATTCCGTGAAATAAACCTTATATCCCACAAGTAAATTTTGAAGTACTTCTTTAAGTAGTTTTTTCTCAAGTGCGGGTGCAGGGACAGAAAGAACGAGCTAAATTAACTAAATTTCAATATCGATTCTTTTTTCCCGTGGACGTAACCGAACGCGGTACAATATCAGTACAACGTCGAACACCGGTGATCCCGACGGCAACGTGTTAATCAAGCCGGTAATTAGTCTCAACATAAGACGAGGTCTCGCGTTGCGACGATACCCCCGCGTCTTCGGGTGTCCTCGCGTTGAAAAGCATCCATAACTAATCGCTCGCTCGTTCGTCGAGATTAACGCAGATGTCGGTTAATCGCAGCGACAGGCCTCTCGTCACAGTCGTGCAGAAAATTTGCTTCGCTCGCCTTTGCTACGTCATCGCGTCGAGGAATGCCGCGCATATCACCGGAGTGGCGATAACCGAGGCAGGGGCCGTGTCGGCATTCGAGGATCACGGCGAAAAGCTCGGCTCATGCCGTCATTCTCTCTCGGGCTATCGCGCCGGTCGGACGTTCCCCACGTGACCCACTGTCCAAGACTCCCCCCCCTCGTCCGCTTCCTCGGCAGAGACTCAATACGCATACGCGATGCTCCGCGCGAGTCCGCCGCGCACCACCGCGTAAGCTCCGTCGCGCGGGCGAATATCCACCGCGGAACGGGGTCGATCGAAACCACCCACGAGAGGCAGGGGCTGCGGGAGGGACCGCCGGCGGAGCCACCACCTGGTCGAGGTTCGCGAGAGAGGGGTAGGGGGCCGAGGACACTGGGAGAACCGCCGTATTGACGCGTCTGCGTGGTCACGCCGGCGCGTTACCTCTCGCGCGCGCGCGCACCGAGGGGTGAAGGGGTGCGCGCGAGACTCGCTCGGGGGAGAGGGTACGGTGAAAAGCTCTCTCGGGGGTCGGGCCAGCTTCAATCGCTCAATATTCAACCCCTCGCCGTACGGGAGCGCCCGAGGAGAGCAGCGGCTCCTCCAGACGGGAGCACGAATCGACCGTTCCTTCCTTTGCGCCCTCGCCCGCGGAGCTGTTCGTTCCGCCGTCAGAGGAACCGTCGAGTGGAAGAAAGTCGCCGACGGCTGGACAGCCTTCGAGAGGGAACAAGCGGCCGCGGGTGGTTTCTTTCTCATCGCTTCGGCTCCTCGCGTCGTCCCCGGCATGGAGGGCAAGAAGGTCGAGCAGTTCTACACCCCGCCGCCGAGACTCGGCAAATGGGAGGGTTTCCGGATCTTCCTCTGGAACTCGGAGACGGGCCAATTACTGGGACGCACCGGAGCCAGTTGGGGTGAGTACCTTTCTTTTTCCTCGCACGTTTCAACCATCCCCTTTCGACCCGCCCGCGCAACTTGTTACCTCTCTCGCTCTCCCTTCGATCGTGCGGACTGGCTTAGTACCGCGTCCTGATGTGCCTTTGTAAATAGGTCACGCTATATAGGCGGGGAACGTTGTATTATATAATGTAAAAGATATACGCGGAACGTTATTTGGGGATCGCGTCATTTGCATTCGATAGCGCCATTGCGGTACCTCGGCTCGCTCAATTTTCCGAGGGGCACCGCGGATCAACTTTTCACGCCTCTTCGGTTACCCTCCCACCTCTGCTTCGTAACGTCCGTGGATTTCGGGAAGAAATTCACACAACGCTTCTCTGCTGCTCCCGTCGATGAATCACCCGCTTCGCGATATCGTCGGACATTAAGCGGGGAGGAGCGATTGTCAAAAAGCGACTTTCCGTCGAGCCGATTCCTCCGTTTCGTTTTTGTCTCTCGCTTTTCCACGCGGCTCATTTTTATCAGCAGAGTTATTGGAGCGATATTTTTCCAACTAGTATCTATTTCTCGAGAGATACGCCGAAGGTTACACCGCGGAGTCTCGTTACGTAATAATACATAAAAGACGGTAGTTGAGTGCCACTGGCACTGTGTTTTCTGTATCGAGAATTTTCGCCATGACATTTTCGGCATTCAGCTATTACAGTGACATGGTTTTTCCTCTCTATGCGATAACAAAACATAGCGGGAATGTGTGTGCGGAGTAGTTAGATGTGTGTGACGAAGATCTGTGGTATCAAAAAGGTTGAGCACGATGATTCGAGCGCATCTTTAGTCCGCGCATGACTTGGGGAATTCAAATAATTCTTGGAAACGTGTGTGAAAAACAGTCAAATCAATCTTGGCACGGTAAGAAAAACGAAGAATACGAAGTAATGTCATTCAACGGAAAATCCAGTCGAGCAACCGCAACGGTCTTCTCTTTCGATAATTACGCTCCTTTGTTTCCGGCATTTTTGTTTCATTTGCTTGTTTAGCGACTGTGCGCCTCTTTGAGGAAAATGACTTTAGTTCCCGTCTCCGTCTCTTCCCACCATAGCCCACTCGCTCGGCTTTAGACTCGAAATTACATAATTTGTATCGACTGCCTCTTAGTTAGTGCACACGAAATAATTTACAGTTTTAAACGACACCGGTCGTGTAATGTCGTGTTATCACACGAAGCGTGAAGGTAAAAAATATTGTCCACCGAGTCGATTACGTAAGATATAATCTTCTCTAATGCAAGCGTGAGATGTAGTAGTTTTCATAGCCGATTGTTGTTGATCGAAGACTATACTTTTGCAATATACAAACGTAGTCGTTTCACGAGTTGACCACTCTCGAGAGAAGCGTCAAATCGTTTTTTGCGAGAGAATTCTTATCCTTTCCTAGGAAGAATAATGTTTCTCTGAAGGCAGCGAAGGAAACGAGGAAATATCTTGCGCGATAAATATGAGGTTTTCAGTAACAGACTACTGATTTACCGCAGATATTTCATAGCTTGCGTTTAGCGTTACGCATGTCCTGTTCTGATAATGCCGTACTAGCCGAGTTCTGTTTACATCTTATTGTTAACGAGATGCTTCATATATGCGGACCAATTAAGAAATAAATTAACACATGGTTTAGATTCATAACGTGTGTCTTCTTGTTTAATAAAACCAATAAAAATATCTCCAAATAATATTTCCTGTATTTTCAATAATAGAACATTGGTTTTATGTATAACGCCACTTTTGATAATTGTAACATACTTATTTAATGTGACCACACATAATACATGTAAATTTATGCAGTATTATAATGAAACATGATAAATTGTAATGTAACGCTATTAATCACGTCTCGATTAATTTTTTATTATTGTTTGCGCCACTAATATATGCCTTAATTAGATTAATGATTTACCATTGGCCCGAATTTTATATATTCATTGTTGCTTGTTATACACATCCGTTACAGAATTATTTCTTAATTAATGGATAATGACGGAAGATAAATAAAATAATTTCAATTTGATTTATGAGTTGACATTAATTTAAACGAAAATCTGCATATTAAGTTAAAATTCCAAACGCGGGCAATTAAAATCTATCGTCGTCGATATATCGATTTTTGCCATACAAATCCGTTATTAAAATATAAAAACTCGCAACAGCGCTCAGAGTTGACACATTTGGTGATTCACGAAGATTACGGTATGGCAAAAGGGTAACATTGGATAATGCCATAACATTTACCAAATTGTCGGCCGACGTCTTAAAGAAGATCATGCAGAATTTATTGATCGAAACTTACACTTTCGCTGAGATAACGTGATCCCAAGGACGTATCACTGCACATTGGTTCTTCAAAGTTTAACGACATTTGAAACTCGCGGGAGCTCTGCGACCACAACGGGAATTATTAAGCATACTTTTTTTTATTTAGAACACCCATGAGATATTTCGGTGCGGCCACGGCATCACAGACGTGAATGAATTCTATCGAAACACGCAACGCTGTCGCACGCCGTGCGTCACGAAATCATTACGGGATCGCTGATGAACGGAAGGTTAATACGCGACTAATGTTACGTAACACCTTAGCAGAGACTGTCGTCAGGAAGCTGTCGCGAGGAAAGGATGTTCGAATCTTTTCGATCTCGCGACTTTTGGCCGGTCGGACGAATTTGTTTAATAATAAACATATATACGTATAAATAATATTATATATATAAATAAATCGTGCTCATATATATATATATATATATATATATATATATAAGTGGCTCCTTTCGAATATTATTCTCTGTGAATTTTCATTCCTCTTCGGATATTAAAATTCATGGTCATTTTACATTACACGTTTCATNTATATATATATATATATAAATAAGTGTACTATGTATAATAGATAAATATATACGATATCGCTCAATTTGTTTGATGTATGTATTCTCATGAGTCAATTAAACCAGCGTAAACCGAGAGGAACAATAATAATCGAGACACTGAACGCGTTACATTGAAGCTTTCGTTTAACACGTGTGTTCCGTTAATGCTTCAATAATTGTCATTACCTTCATTTTATATACTTACATTCTGTAATATATATATTTTTATTTCATAGAGAGAGAGAGGGGGAATATAAATATATATCTACGTAGAGAGAAAATTGCAAAGTAAGAAATCCTTCAACTTTTCTGTCGTCGATCGTACATTACGACGCGTGCGTCAAGACTAAAAAAGATGAAGCGCAACTTCGCAACGGACAGTTGACATCGCTTGAGTATTCAAGCTTATAAGCCACATATCCCTTCCTAGTCAGCGGACTTACTCTATTTTTTCTCTCCGTTTATCCCTTCCCCAACCTCTTTCTCCATCTCCCTCCCTTTCTCTCTTTCTCTCTCGCTCGCCCACCCCCTCCCCCTTTCTCTCTCTCTCTCTCTTGTTCTTGTTCTATTGCTGTTTGTCTATTCCCCTTCGCTCTTCTATTGCGGTCGATCGACTTCCATCGAAATCAATAAGAGCCGTCTCCGTTACCATCTCGCAGAAATGGTATGGTCTGATTTCTATACTGGATAGTGTTAGCGTCTGCGCGCAGCCAACGCCAGTCGATTTTTGCGGCCGAATGTCCTACATTCGAGTTCAATCCTGCGGACCCTTTCCGGAAAAGGATGGAAATAGGCATTCGCGAGAATCGCTCGCGCTACAACGCGGTCCCGTTAATGGTAAAAATCGAGTTTGGTTATAATTACATCGTCGGCCGGCGACAGGTAATGAGATACACACAGAGCCGATGTCGGTGTGTTAACGTAAACTGTAAAGTCGTTTACCCAGCCGGGGCGAATTTCGATTACATTATCCACCGCAACGTCATTGTAGATTGTCGTGGTTGACGTCACCCTGCCCGCTCGTTGTAGATAAGAGAGAAAGGCTGCGGATGGTCGCGCGAGTAACGCGAGCGGTTAACACGCTGCCCATGTGAAATTTTACAAGAGAGCAAGCAGCGTTATTGAAATGCCGCGGGGTGGAAGGGATTTTCCACCGATTAATAAATCCTCGCGACAACAAAACGACGCTGCGAGGTTACAGCGTTACGTTCAACTTGTTCTCCATGCTTAAAAGGAGAAATCAACAATTAAATATGACAAAAGAATATTCCCCTTTAAATTACAACCGGAGGAGGTGACAATTTTCCTTCCCTATTCTCTGAATTTTCATCACCGACAGTTACGTAACGCCGTAACCGACGGCTGCTTCTACTTCCAACACGCGAAAGTCGAGCCGACGATGAAGCTTCCGCAAAGATGTTATTTGTTTTTCCTTATTCATTTATCAAAGCGGTTAGAATAGCAACGACCTACTTGACGATAGAAACGGTAGTCGGCTCGCGTCGCCGCATTCGGCACCGAGTCGATCGATATCTCGAAAAAAGCCATGGAAATGTTACGTTGCCGTAGTGACTCCGTAATGACATGCCAGCCATTGATGCGGAGGGTTGAGGCGAACACGAGTTGCTCCGAGAGTTCAGCGCCAGCCTCATTGCTCTTGATACGTTTCGACAATTCATTTAATCACTTTGTCAGACACGCGACAGTTCACCTCGTGCTGTTGCATTCGATCGGTCTCGTGACGGATAACTGCTATAAATGTGTTCGAACAATTCCGAACAATTCTGTTCGACGCGCAACATTTCGGGCAACGATTCGTCGGGATCTTTTCCGTTGTGAAACACGGAGATGAGAAACGATGAGAATTCGATTTCTGTGCTTCAGCCCGTCGAATGCGGCGGATTGCTTGAAAAATAATTTGCAACCGTGCCATGTAAAGACCGCCGCAGTCAATGATTCCTCGAGGACGAGTTACGACGCGCGCGCGTGAGAACGCGAACGTATATTCGTCAACGATTTGTATGACAAACGCGTGGTATCGCTTACCCAATACCAATTCAGGCCAATTAGACGCCGCATCATAATTGTCTCGGTGCTACAGCCTTCGGCCGGCAAGCAAGGCAGAGCAACGAGATAGAAATTACGCTGGTGAAATAATTGGGATCGACGTCGATATTAACCCGGAGACCTGACGGTGTGTGTGTGTGTGTGTTCCCCCGGCGCGTCCCCGCTTTCTACTTTTCTCAGGGAAATATCAACTGTGAACAGAATAATCGATCAATGGAGCCTTCAAACTTAATTTTAGTCGGGGAAATTAAACGAGACCGGCTTCAGCTGAGCGGTCACGAAGGAACAAAGTCCGACGAGAGAGTGTGTATATGTGTGTGTGTGTATATACATAAATAGCAATTTTAAATTTATTGAACTTTCAAAGAGCTCACATACACGCACGCTCAAGTATCAAGGAGGGATTCAGCATATACAGGGTGTGGCAATAACTCTTATCGCCTTATGAATATCTTCGGGAAATAAAAATATTTTATCGACGACTAAATAAAGATGAAAAATGCTTGCGTTCGCGGAAGATGCTTAAAACGATTATCGTTAATACCAGGTGGTATTAATGCAATCTCTCTGTTAGATAATTCTTCTCCCCTGCTATCGTGTTTCCTAGATATACAAGGTGATAATAGTTATTGCTTCACCTTACATACTGTTGACCATACTACTTCAATATAGAAATATCAGCAATTTTTCTTTTGATTTTTACTGCTGTCTCTTGATATGAAACTTAAAAAAAAATTTGTTTTATCAAACTGAAGGTTATTGGGGAATTTTTAAACAGGTAGGATTAGTATTTTTTTATTATCGACTCGCGAGCTCGATATCGCAGCGTTTCTTTGAAATTTCTTTTCAAAATGAAATTTTTTCTTTTGGTAAACTGGCCGGTATGCATCTTATTTATGGGGAAGCCAGACGTAAATAATCTAAATTTCGAACAATTGCTGAAAATAATTCACTTTAACGCCAAAACGGCATATTTCTGGACATGGATTTATTAATAAAAAATTTATTTTGGTGTCCTTTATAAGCACTCGAAGTTTGTCGGTCTAATTTCGGGATACCCTATATATAAAAATAGAAGTCGTCGCTTTTTATACATATACAGTAAACAATTGTATGTAAACTACGTATTAATCCACCGAATTTTTTGTGTTATTTTGACAAGTTGAATATTGTAATTTAACATATATTTGAGTACTTTTCAACATATTCGAATTTATATTGATGCAAGTATTACTTGCACTATTCTTTGTATTCTTGATTTAAAACAAATTTCTTCCCTGTGCATGTTTATTAAAACCCGCGCGTTATTTAAGTTCTTAGCAAAGAAGTTTCCACGAATAAAAAATCTTCCCGCGCTTTCGCAGATCGACAAAATCACCGTGTGACTTATACCGATAATTGCGTCTTTCAGCTAAGATCTTGCTGTTCTACCTGATTTTCTATGCCGTCCTGTCGGGCTTCTTCGGCGCGATGCTCGCTGTATTCTATCAGACGTTGGACCCGAACGCGCCCAAGTGGCAGTTGGACAATTCGCTGATCGGCAGCAACCCCGGTCTCGGTTTCAGGCCTATGCCACCCGAAAGCAACGTCGAGAGTACTCTGATCTGGTACAAAGCCAGCGACGAGGGCAATTATCTCCACTGGACCAGGGAATTGGACAAGTTCCTGGAAGGTGAGCTCATCGTTTCTAGAATTGAACCCTTGTTTCCAATATATAAGTCACGGGGCACGATGATTTTTTTCTTCCGATTTCGGCCAACTTCTTCGTGTGGCTTAGCCGAAAATTTCTCTAAAATAATCTTTGCACACGATCCAGAGTATGAGCAGCCGGCCACCGGTACGATCGCCCACGATCAGCGAATGCCGTGCGCTTACGGCAAGGGAGCGCCGTCGGGTAAGGTCTGCGACGTAAACATGACTACCTGGGGAAAGTGCACGAAGGACAACAAATACGGCTTCAGTAAATCAGCACCTTGCATTTTCTTAAAACTCAACAAGGTTTGTGCGTTGTCCCCTTTCGTACTTTACGTCGGAATCTTATGTCTCGGTATTCTCTCGACGAGCTCGAGGAAGCTACACTGAAAAAGAAAATTGCTATTTTCAAGTAAATATTTACCAAAGAATGTTGCAGTGATTTATTTTATTCGAATTAAGTAAATATTACTTGATCCAAACGAAATAAATTACTACTTAGTAAATATTTACCTGAACACAACGAATTTTTGTTCAGTGTACATTTCATTTATACGAGAAATCTATTATTTCTGCAGATACAGCGTTTCGTACGATTGACGCGGTAAAGTATCGTCCCCGATTGCTCTTTCAGATCTTCGGGTGGAAGCCGCACTTTTATAACGACACGAAAAATCTGCCGCAGTCGATGCCGGAGGATCTCAAGGAGCATATCAAGCAGGAGGAAACAGCCAAGAGACTGGACACCGTCTGGGTGTCTTGCGCCGGTGAGAATCCGGCCGACGTGGAGAACATGGGCGCGATTCAGTACATACCGCGCCGCGGTTTCCCGGGTTACTACTTCCCGTTCACGAACACCCCGGGATACCTGAGCCCGCTCGTCGCTGTGTTCTTCGAGAAACCTAAATGTACGTATTTCCATCATTGATCGATTCCGCGCGAGAAGACGGATAACAACGGCGGGTACGACGGGTTGCCAACTCGCTTTGCCGACAGCCGAGGCGTAGCCAGGATTTCAGGGGTGAAAATTTATCCTCACGCAAATCTCCTTATGATTTATTTCACACAAATTCTTATTGAACTTCAATGAACCTCCGTAATTTCTTCTTCTAGCTTCTTCCTGGAACGTCTTTCGAACATTTGTGCTATATGGGGTATCGATTTCTTTACGTTTATGCTCAGCACGGTATACCCTTCTTTAATGAAAACGTGAAAAAGTGTGTGCAAATAATTCCGCAAACATGCCTAACCCCCAAGTAACGGAGTGACGTCAGAGGACGTTGTATTCGCGTCACAGAGAGGCCACATTGCTGTCAATATGACGTCCTCTCTGACCTCACTCTGCTGCTTGGGAGTCTGTGCGGCCAGGCAACTCGTTGTTGACCCGTCACGAAGCGTTCGTGAACAATCGACACCCGTTCTTTTTTTTCTCGGTACCGCAGACGGCGTACTCATCAACATCGAGTGCAAGGCATGGGCGCACAACATCATCCACGACAGATTCGAAAGGCGCGGCTCAGTGCATTTCGAACTGATGGTGGACTAAGCCCGGCTGCTTCGGCCAATCGTTAGACCACCACCGCTACCAACCGCGTCCACGTAGGAAGCCGCAACAAAAAAAAAAAAAACATAGTAGAGGACAGAGAGAAGACGTTTCTTTTTTAATCTGCCTCGTTGGCCGACCGCGATCACACCCTGTGCCATCCGGTTTTCTCTCTGCCGACGATACCGCCCCGGATCAGCCTTACTTCTTCTCACCGTCGTCACTTCATCGTCGTCGATTCACATCGTCTTCGTCATCGGGCACTCTACAACGACCGCGCGCGACACCGCAGTCCGTCTCTCCACGTCGTCCGCCAAGATAAGAAGGGAGACGGAGGAGCGAAGGGAAAAGGGAAAGCAAAAGGGGTTGGCTAACAGGAAGGGGAGGGGAGACGCAGCGTGTACACGGGGGAAGTGAGAACTCAACGTTTTTAACGATCGATCGCAACTCGACGTGCACAAAAAACGAAACCGGGGTTAGGGGGAGGGGAGGGTGGGGAGGGGTCGAAATAAACAGTCCCGCACAAAAGCCGGGCGGTATCCTCCCTTATTTCTGCCAGGGTCGTGTCACGGGGAGTGATCTCGACCATCGACGGCTACGTCGATCGTTCGCAATACTACTTCATTCGCGCGCGCGCGCGACAAAAAGAGAGAGAGAGAGAGAGAGAGAGGGAAAGAGAGAGTGAGAGAGAGAGAGAGAGAGAGAGGAAAAGAAAGAGGGAAAAAGAGAGAGAGAAAAAAAAGAGATTCTCCCTTAGTTTCAGAGCCCACCGCCCGTTCCAGCTCTAGAATCCTCTTATTAAGCTTCTCGTCACACACCGTTCCTTTCCACGACGACGCGAGTTCGGCCGACGAGTCGCGTCGACGCGGCACCGCGGATGATCGATGATGATCTTAGGTTTGGCCATGTAGATGTTTTAGATTATATAGCGTATTTCTGCCCGTCGCTACGGTACATCTCGGCACGTGGATATTTCATCAGCGAGAGAGAGGGAAAAAGAGAAAGAGAGGGGGAGGGTGAGAGGAGAGAGAAAAAGAGGGTGGGAGAAGAAAGGGGAAAATGAGAATGAGAGAGAGAGAGAGAGAGAGAGAGTTTTCACCAAGTGGAGCTCTCTGCGAATTCTCAAGCGTGGAGAAAACGCAGGCACAAAGGGGTACAAGTACGCGTTAGGCTCGGTCGGAGCGATCGCTGTCGAGGGGTAACGGCGAGACGCGGCTCGCGCGACTTCGCATCGACGATCCCGAGCGATACTGATCGAGTCTCCCGAGTACATTAATCAAAAGCGACACAAAGCTGCCATCCGCCAGTATCCGTAAAAAAAAAAAAAAAAAACGCCGAACGAAGTCGCGAGTTCACGCGTAGAATCAGCCTCCGTTCGCGATCTCTCCGAACGTTATCTCTATATTTGTAAGATACATAGTCGATTATTACATAGTTGACAGTTGAGCAGGTGTAGTAGGGAATCGTTGGGGAACTTTCTGTTTCTATCGAAATACGATCGAGCTTCGGGACACACACTTATGTGCAGCATTCGTTGATTTGGAATTGAAGCGGTTAGAGAGAGAGAAAGAGAAAAAGAGAGAGAGAGAGAGAGAGTAAGAGATATTTTTCTGGTTTATCTCTCCGTTGTGTTCGTAGCGACACCGATCGGTCGGTATTCTATTCGTATCGCTTCGCCGCTGAAAAAAAAAGCTATATCACGTACGATACTTGTGTCGCACATGTTACTTGTATTCCTTTGTTCCGGTTGATATTTTCAATTGAGAGAGAAAGAAAGAGATAGGGATGGAGAGAATCGAGTTTACAAGGATAACTATGAGAAATTGAAATCTCTGCCGTGGTGCTGATATCGCGAAGGGGTGTTACCAAAGAAACGGAAATGAAAGAGAGTTTGATGAGGCGATCGATGGTTGTTGCCACTCGTAGTGGTATGTTGAACGCGACTGACGACCTAGGATTCTCGATGTGACGGAATCCGTAGGGCTTATTTTATGCGGAGGCACTCGGATTCGCGAATTGTTGAATCTACTGATTTTTGAGCTCATAAATGCTTAGATTTGCATATTCTTGGACTGGCAAGTTTCTTCGGAATCGTAGGATTATTAAGGGGTCTCGTGTTTCGGTCTTCAAATGTCACGATGAGAGTGTACGCGCGAACGGGATTCGAGAGGGTACAGCGTGGTCAGACGTGACACTGCCATATCAGTTGCGGGAGTTAAGACTTCTTAAACAAACTGATGAATGGTAATAGCTTAAAGAGAAAAAAAATGATCATTTGAAGTCGTAAGCAGCATCGGATGACTAAGGTTCTAGTTTGCTAATTCGGACACGGTGTGACACGTGCAGCAGGTAAACGTTTCGGTAAATCGAGCCGCGGAAACGGAGGAAGGAAGGAAGGAAATAATGTGTTCTACTTACTTATTATTCCAAGAATCTCTTATCTGGGGATGTATGAGGGCAAGAATCTGCACACTCAGGAATCTATAAATTAACAACAAGAAATCAACAGATCCGAAGATCTACGTGGACCTAAGAATCTAATATTAAAGAGAGGAAAAAAAAAACAGTTACGGACACGAAGATTCGCGAATGCAACAGTCTGTAGGTCCAAGGATCTATATATTAATTTTATTAATTGATATTTTAAAGATATTTTTGTGATTAAACAGAGATAAAAAAGAGAGAGAGAGAGGAGAGAGAGAGCATTGCAAACGCTTCACCAGTTTCACATTGACAAGATATGTTACGATAGTATAAAGAAGCTTCGACACACACGTTCAGTATTTAAGGCTCTGAGAGAAAAGCTGCTTGTACATAATTTCTACAAAAGAGTTTTAAAGTGTCTAAAGGTCCGAGGAGCACTTGCGATCAGTAATTACCACATCTTTAATACGAACACGTCGATTGTATACTGATAATACGAAAATGTTATAGCAACGATATATCGATACTTACCGAAACATTGGACCTGTTAAAAATTGGTAGTGATGCCGTAATGATTGCGGTAATCCTTTACAAGTACTTAAAACGAGATAATTTAAACTATTGATTTTTGGATGTACTTAAATCACAGAGAGGTTTCACCGATCTCAAAAAGAAATGAAACAACTGTCGATATATCGCATTAATTATATCACAGACAGGCGTTCAGCCCCGATCGACTGGCGGCATATGAGGATTTATATCGGTTTCGTTATGCGATACGCCACATAGCGCGGGGAAGAATGCATATAATAGTGCTTAGTGCTAATTCACACCAATCCTGCGAGTCGTTGAGTTGTTGATTTCAGCGAGAGGAAAAGTCGGGAAAGTTGCTCTTTCCGCATCGATAAGACGTCGGGGAACGAGAAACATTTTGCGTCATCGATACGGACACCTTCTGACGAAAGCTGGAGCTTGCAACTGAAGAAATGATATATCGTGAACTCTCGTGTACAATTATTTTATGTAGTTCCGTTACTATTAATTATTGCGCGACGATATTACTATGTAATATTAGTACTTACCTTTTTAGAACGTCTTGTCAATGTTTAAGAGTCTTTAAAAACGTCTTAAGGTCTTTAAGACGACGTGTTAGGTAATATATATAAATGCGTTCACAGAGTGATAAAGATCCTCGAAACTTAGAAATTTTCAATAAATATATCTTATTAAGATAAATATATAGCAAAGCATATATTGGTTGAATATAGATTTATATCTGAACTTTACCAATTCAACTCGTGAAACACATCTTTTATTTATGACCAACCCTCTTACGTAACGACATTTACTTTTACTCTATTCACGTATAGGAGATCGTTAATTTACACAACGCGTAATATATTAAAAACTAGTCAGCTTGATTTAAACGGATTGACAGTCGCCCTGGACTAAACGAATATCAAGTAAAATTATCGGTATATATATTTTTTACTTCTTTCCTCACGATTTATTTACAAGTAGATTTAAAAATTCTGAGCATCGTATGAATTTTTAAATCCATTTTTTATTAAAACATACCGGTCTTGTACATTTTTAAGTACACAGATCCGATTTATAGTAACCGAATTTGCTAGTCATTTGGGCTTTTCAAATTGTTTGTAAATTTTTACATTCGCAGATATTTGAGTCCGCAAGTTGGCATATCGGAAAATGCCTTGTATCGATTTTCTGAGCGCTACATAATATATTCTTAATTCGCGATAAAGGATTTCTTCTGATTTACAAATTCTGGGATCTACAAATCCTCCGATTTATAAATCCTGCGACTCATAAATTTATAGGTCGATAGATTCTTAAATCGACAGATCCTTGCATTGAAAGATTCGTAGATTCACAGATTCTTGGATAATCGTCGATGGCATTGTTAAATCCGTAAAACGATGTAAGATAGAGAGGGGAGAGCGAGAGAGAGAGAGAGAGAGAGAGAGAAAGAGTAGAAGAAGAAAGAAAGGAGGGAGAGACGACAAAGACAAAAAGAGTGGAGATGAAGAGAGAATAATATATTATTAAAAGAAAATATTATTACACTTACAATCTCTCTACACATCAGGGCGGCTACATATTATTCATCATTGTGAATGATCTGTTTCTAATAATGAACATCTAACTGTTGTTGAAGTATGAAAATTGTACTAATCACGCGCATGAAAGAACGAGAGAGAGAGAGAGAGAACGAAAGAGAGAGAGAGCGAGCGAGCGAGCGAGAGCAAGTGAATAAGAAAAATTTGATATACACGGTGAAAGAAGAAAAAGACGACGAAGGGAGAGGGGGAGGAGGGAAAGAAAAGAAGCAGCCTCTAATAACGCGTACACCGGGTTCAAAGCTGATTGTGTTTAAACTTCGTCAACTACCCGGCTATCGACGTCTGCTTTTCAAGGCCATCGAATCTTTATCGAGCCAAGAGTCAAGAATATTTGCATCGCGATCTTGGTCAGGATATCGTTTGTTTGTTCGAATAACTTGCGTTCCCCGGGATCACCATTTGGAACGTGTAGCCGACAAAATCGGGATTTAATTTGTATCATTCGAGTTGTGCGAGAGTGTTAGAGAAAGAGCTCCATATAAACGAAAAATCACAAAAGCGAAACGGATTAAAAAGAAGCAAAAAAAAAAGAGGGAGAGAGGGAGAGAGAGAGAGAGAGAACGGAGAAAATCAAGAAGGGAAACTTGTGTAGTACGGTCCATTATCGCATTACCGATACATTAAGTGTATATCCGTACTTACGTATACTTACGCATACATATATATATATATATCCATGTTGTTATTGAGGATAAGCCAAAACTTTAATGTCCGAACACGGCAGTGCTTTGTATAACAGAAGGTCGTATTACTTAATTAACGAGATACTTGATTAGATAAGGGGTACCTTTAGCGAATATGTTTAAGAGACCGATATATTATAGTATATATACATTATGCATGCATTCTTGTTAAATCCTGTTTGTCGTTGAATTATTGATAAGCCATGTGTAGTCTAAGATGTCTAAGCAGTGTCTTATGTTGTAATACATACATGTTGGGTGACGCTTGTTACGGACGTAATCGACGTGTATGTAAGGATGTACAACGTTACTATAGTTCCCACACGTGGCGCGGCTCCTTAAGCGCGTACACGCGAGACGAGCCCCGGGAGCGAGGGTGGATCGAGCCCCGTGACTCGTGGGCTTCACTTCCGCGTACCTTAGATTCGAAGCGGACCCCACAGCATCCGTCGTCAGCTTGATCCACTTTTGGCCCGCGCGTCTCGCACATATGTATATATAGGATAACTATATATACCCCCAATGGTGCGGTGGATGCGGCCAGGAGGGTTTCCGGCGCCGTGTGTCGTTATCGGCATTTTTATTCATCGGCATTATCATTTCGGCTGACTATAATTTCGTGCGCGTTTCACCTCTCACGGAGTGTCAAGCCGTGTTCTCTATCGAATGCTCGAGAAGAAGCTCGATTCATCATTCGTTGAGTCCTCCTTCCAAGTGGGATCGTTGATGTCACTAAGTGAATCAACGTTACGGATTAACGTCGGCCATTCGGGACTTTGCACACGCTTGTAACGGCGATCCTTCATCCTCGCGCTGCTCGTCAGCAAACACGTGGCGTTTTAATTTGACGCAATGCGCCCGGTAAGCGACACCCGTCGCGAGACAACCCGGCTCGTATTTCCGCGATCGACCGCATTGGCGACAAAGACTTCGAACGACCTCGTTCAAGAAGCCACATTGCACATATGTGTCCTAGTGAGGCGGGCGTCTCCGCAAAGTTAGTTAAGATTCACCGAGGAGATAATCTTCTAGAGACTACTAGCGAGTCCCGAGGGACTACCACGATCGTCTGTGATCGGTTTTGCACTCTCCCTTTCGCGTATTTACACTTTCTTTCGCACTTTCGCATACTTTCGTGTTTACGGGGAAGAGAGGTTCATCATCGTGAGCGTGTATACACACACACAGTCGAGACAACCCGAGAATATCTCAAGAGACAGAGAGAAAGAGAAGGAGACCCGAGAGAAGATAGCCGGTACGCGCTTACACTGAGAAAAAGGTGTTTGGTATTTGTAATTATATAGTCGCACGGTGGTGAGAAATAATTATAGTCGGGAAAAGCATTTTTGTAATAAGTGTTATTACATAATAGTGATAGCGAAACCTTATACATGCGTACTGCTAATATTGCTACTTTCTTTCGTTAGGAACAGCAAGAATTTAAGAGGGTATATATATATATATATAGTCGGCAAAAATGACTATAATTTGAGCGGGATCGACTGTTTACTTTTTTTCTCTCAGTGTAGGTAGGTAAGGACGAAGCAACGTCTCGACGCGGGGGGTTCCTCTCGCGCGGAGGACGTGCGCGCGATACGTGTGATTACAATTAGAGATACCGCGATTGCGCTAGACCTTTAGAGGATTATTTTTCTTCGTCGTGTGTAGATAGAGCGGCTCAAACGATTAAAAAAAAAAAAAGAAAACTGCTTGAATGCGTGACACCTAGCATTAATTTTAGGCATTTTAAGATTTAAGCTTGTTGTCGTTGATTAAGGTAAATCGTAAAGGTCAGCCTCGACAATTATTATTATTATTATCATCGGCGATACCATCGTCGTCCCGACGATGATCGATAAGTCCCTTAAGAAATCGTTGTTGTGCGTCACGCGATCGCGCGTCGCCCGTTTCCTTTGACTGGTGACGTACGATTCAATGCAAACTCAGCCACACAATGTTACACGAGAATGAAGAAGGTACTCGCCAGCGCTTACGGAGTAATAATTATTGTAATTACGAGAGGAAGAAGTAGTGATCGTGCACTGAGAAGGGGGGCGG